GAACCGTAAGAGGCCACCGCGAAAATTCAAGGTCTCGAGACCATTTAATGCCACTTGTGATTGTGCACGTTTTACGGTCAGCAGGCTTCGGTGCCATTAAGAGTATGACTGGTGCACTTGAACACTGATTGCAAGTCTTGCTAACTCTTGATATTTGTTCTTCTGCGTTCTTGTAAGCTGAACTGTTAAGGCAAAGGATTTGCACGCAATCGGTTTTTGTACATTAGACCCACAGTATAAATGTGTTCTGTTTCTTGCTACTTCTCGCTGCGACATTGTTCAAGATCATTTACTCCAGAATGTCCGCAGTTTTCTCGCGTAGCACTCATCTGTTCCGCAGTTCGTGATTGTTTTCCTGGCGCTGTTTCACGAGGCCGTAGTGACACGAGCCGAGAAGGATCAGCGCAACATATAAACCAGGTCTTCATCCCACGTGCATACGACACATAAATCAGGTCTCCATCCCACGTGCATACAACACATAAATTGGGTCTCCATCCCACGTGCATACAACACATAAATCAGGTATCCATCCCACGTGCACACAGGCCTAGCACGAGCCGTTCCACATGAGATGCCGCCGGATTTTACATCAGCATAAGTTTGTTCTTACGTCTTTCACGACGATTGATAGAGACGTAGCCAGTGAGGAAATAAAGACATAGCAGCAAATCGCTGTAAGGTTAGTCTTTTTAACAAGCGTGAAAATTCCTGAACGCAAAGTCGTGCTCCAAAACGGGTTACCACGTGGCCAATCAGCGCGGAATAACGAAACTTATAATATGGCCAGTTTGTTGGTATTGGGTGTACTCACGACCGATGAAAAGCCTCTTGATGTCGAAAAGGGTCTTCTGAGGTCGATTTCGTACTATTTAGCTGATACTACTGATACTACTGATACTACTGATAGCTCAGTCATGGGGCCTCCTGTATATAACTATTGGTGATCTTTGAGTAGCTACAATGGTTTTAGTTTGGAAAAAGCCCCAAATTTTTAGCCGGCAAAAGTATGCTCTCATCTCTGCTGCACCGTCGCTGCCCCCAAATAACCAAATTTTCCTCGGGGGGGGAAATGTCATTTCTCAAAAACCCTGCGGTTAGGACTGAATTCTTGTAAAATCATCCAGTATCTAGTGTCAGTCTCTTGAATCAAGAGGGGGAGGAAGGCAAAGACTCTTTGACCTTCCCCTTGGCTATGTCCCTTGAGCCCCTTACATGATCTATAACTTTTGACTGGCTGCATTGGACCGGTTCTCTCAGCTTCATATGCACATGTAGAAAATCTGTTTCGCCACGGTGCGCATCACCACTCACTCGCAGGGGTCTTACTGTCAGGTCATCCGAGGTCATTCTAAAACCTTGCTTAAGGTCTTGAGTGAGTTTGCACTTCATGATCTATACAGATATTACGAAGATTCTTCACATGCTTCATAGAAAACAGTGATCGGAGGTAATGTAAAATGTCTTTCATCATTGCTCTAAAGCAACAATTGCAAGGTCTTAGACGACCTGGCCTTGACTTGGAATGGTTTTTGTAAAGGTCGCGGGCGAGATGACGCACATGATAACGACCTTCATCGTCGTGGTGAAGCTCATCGTGTAATCGCTTCATACTCATGGAAGGAGCTCTGTCTCCCTTGGTGGCGACCTTGCTCTCTATTGTTCGCTAAGCTAACTCAGTATTTCACCGAAATTCACCAAAACCTTCCCAAAACACATGAAGACATTAACAGGACAATTTTTCATTTCGTTTTCACGTCCCCCTTTCCTCCCTTACTAGATGTCATGAGGCTTCGTTACGTTGACGCCTCCAGAATCGCTATGGATATGAAGCAGGGGTGCTCACAAAGCCTGGGACACGGAACGGAGCACCGTCCGCCGTGCAGACCTTTGAGAGCAATGGATTAGCTCAGTGACGTCACACGGTGATAAACCGACACTTTAGGTCAGGCACAGAAAATTTTGATACTCAGCTAGCCCATATTTCAACAAAACTTTCGATGAAAATCAGCTGACCGAAATTCGTGGCCACCGCGTACGGTTGACTGGTATGTGGGTTCTGCAGAGAGGCCAATAGGCAGTGTGGTCGTCGCGGTCTAGTTTTGAATCGGCACCTAGGGTGCATTGACAGCGTACCAAGAATGTTGTAATCTACGTGACGCCTCGTAGAATATTTGCCAGACGTCTTCGCGGCACGACTCGCTTTTTGTCTACATCTTCGTAACTGTCGTGCACTAGCTGTGCATGCAAGGAAACAATATTTTTGTTTGCAGGCTCTTTACGTGCTCCTTAGAAAAGGAAACGTAAATTATGCTTTTTACAACGCATAAAACACTTTTTCACTACTCGTGGTCGGTCCTGGGCACGCAAATTCGCCTATTTATAATTAAATATGTTGCGCCATTTCTGTCTCATTTCGATCGAATCGCAGGAAAAGGTTCAGCGCGTTCGGTGACGTCATGCGGAATCTTTGTCGTCCCGGTCGCTGCGAACACCAGTCGGGGCAGAATCTGTGGGGTATGATGTTATTTATCGAGTCGACAGCATAGATTCTGCGTCATCTCTTTCTGTTGACATCTTCGTTGCTGTCGTGACAGTCACTACGCATGCAAAGACACAAAAGTCCCGTTTGTATGTACTATGAGTGTTCATAAGCATGGGAACTGCAAATTTTGCTCTCTGTAATAAACTGCATACATTGCTCTTTGTAACACCACATATTTGCTCTTTATTCGATTAAAGACAAGTTGGTATCACTCGCGGTCGGTCCTAGCCACGCAAATTAATATTTTTAAAAATGAGTGTGTTGTGCCATATTTGCCTTATTCCGTTTGAGTCGAGGACAAGCATTCCGCACATCCAGAAAAAAATTATGCGTGATGTCAGGTATAACCTTTGCTGTCCGGGTCGCCGTGAATGCCAAACGGTGCTGAAACTATGGGGCATGAAATCATGGTTGACGTCGCTGGCATATCACCTTTGTCGCCCGGGTCGTTGCGAATGCACCGCTAGCCTCGCTGCTGAAGTACAGCGAGAGACTGTTCCTGTTCTGTTCCAGCACGTATCGCCCGCGCATTCGCTATCTTTTGGATCTTAGCCTATTCGAGCGCACCATTTATTTTTAATCATTCGTGCCACTGCTGTGAATCATGTGACTAGAGGGAAAGACGCATACACGATGACTCGGGACATCGCCGAGTCATTACTACGCACACATCGCTGGAACGAGATAAGCGTTGATGCAATAGACAGTGTTATGGCCCACTAAGTGGCACATCGATCGATTAAAGACCAAATTCGTGGATTCCATGTTCCGCTCCTCCAGTCCGTGATTTGGCCGTACGGGCTCACGAAGCCATTGCCGGAATCACTTTCGGATAATGAAGTGAGCTCGATTTTGCTTAAAAAGGAAGTGACAAGTGGGAGTTAACGATAGGTCACCAATTTTCAGCACGCTCACTACAATTGATCTTAATGCGTGTGTAAAAAGCACCGGAGGATATCATCACCCCTTCTCACATTGCCTAGGTCCATAAAACACTCGGGCACGTGCCGCCTTTGTCAATATGAGTGTTCTCTTCCTCCTCCTCCTCCTCCTCCTCGTGCCACTGTGACGAGTATTCGTGATCCAGCATGGCTTCAACACGTTCCGTTAGCTTTTTCAATGTTTTAGATTCGCTTTCGTTGGATGGAAGAGGTAAAGCGCTGTATAGCTGCACAAATTGAAAACGTACCCACGACGGGACTCGAACCCGCAATCTTCGGTTTAGGAGACCGACGCCTTATCCATCAGGTCTCACAGTGCAGCCCGCGTGGCCTAATGGATAAGGCGTCGGTCTCCTAAACCGAAGATTGCGGGTTCGAGTCCCGCCGTGGGTACGTTTCTCATGTGTACGTTATTTTTATTTTATTTTTCCTACTACTTTATCTCTCCCATTAAAGGATTTTAACTACTTTATCTCTCCCATTGAAGGATTTTAATGGATTAGGCGTCGGTCTCCTAAACCGAAGATTGCGGGTTCGAGTCCCGCCGTGGATACGTTTTCCATGTGTACTCTATTTTTACTTTATTTTTCTTACTACTTTATCTCTCCCATTGAAGGATTTTACGTCTTCCGTTTTAATTAGACAAATGAGGTGAAACTAAGGTAAAATTGGTACGGGATGCAGCCTGCGTGTCCTAATGAATAGGGCGTCAGGCTCCTAAACCAAAGATTGCGGGTTCGAGTCCCGCCGTGGGTACGCTTTCCATTCGGGCAGCTGCTCAGTGCTTCACCTCTTCCGTTCAAGGATTTTATGTTTTCCATTTTAGTCAGATAAATGAGGTGAGATTAAAGTTTAAATTACCCCACGGCGTAGCCCGCGTGGCCTAATGGATAAGGCGTCGGTCTCCTAAACCGAAGATTGCGGGTTCGAGTCCCGCCGTGGGTACGTTTGCCATCCGTGCAACTGTGAACTGCCTCTCCTATCCGAGGGATTTATGTCTCCGCTTTAGTCAGACGGATGAGGTGAACCGTCGGCCTCATAAATCGAAGATTGCGGGTTCGAGTCCCGGCGTGGGTACGTTTCCCACCCGTGCAGCTGTGGACTGCCTCTCTTATCTGAGGGATTTATGTCTCTATTTCAGTCAAACGAATGAGGTGAAATTAGGGTAAAATTGTGTCACTGCATAAAACGTTTCTAGGATCGATAGGAGGTTGCGACCTTCTTATTCCTATTAAAACTGTATGAACCTGCGATCAGTGGCTGCTCTCTTTGAAAGCATGGTCATAGTCAAGATAAGACATGCGCGGTATTTGGCCTCGTTCCTGACAGCACCGTTAATGGAGATAGTAGTTCAAACAATTATCACATTTCTCCCTGTGCGTGAGAGGAAACCGACGCACCGCTGGGCCCGGAGCGCTGGACCCTGCCGTCTGCTGTAGATCCCTGCTGAAAACGTCAACATTCCAACCACGTGATCACCCAGGCAGCGAAGTAACACCATCTCTTTCTTTCAGGTTTGCCAAGAGGAGAACTATGGACCATCTTGTGTACCTAGTATCCCATCCGCGGTCTGGCAACACGTGGTTGAGGTTCCTCATCGAGGTGTCAGTCGGAGTTTTCACGGGATCCGGACAGTACTCGCGGAAGATATCCATGGACCACAACAGCTGGCTGGCCAAGCTCAACTTCACAGCCAGCCACTACGGAGAGCCCCAGTTCACATGGAGCGACGGACAGTGGCCATACATAGCAACATCAAGTAATGCCATCGATGCTCTCGCGCTGCGATTTCTGAAGAAAAGTAGAAAAGCTATGTCAAAGAAAGTTTGTTGGACGCCATGGGTTAGAACGATGCGGTTGTTAGAGATGTATTTATTTGCAATTATTGAAAAGACTTGGCAGGATATCTTGTTGAACAGTTAAAATAAAATGTAATGCCTCCCTATGAGCCCAGTAATCGGTATCCAGGGAATTATTAGCGACCAGTTGACACTGTTGTTGACACTGTTGAGGCATACTCTATGGTAAAAATACAAAGGGAATTGCCGTGGTCAAAATAAGGCCATGTAAATGTCACGTCAAGAGATGACTTGGTCTGGTGATTATTTTTCATAAATCTTCTGATTTTCCGAAGTTTTTCCAAGATCGGGTATTCGCCAGCAACTCATCAGCAGTTTATAAACCACCGTTCATTCGCAATGGTTTGTGTTTGTGTGCGACTTCATCGCCGGCTGGCTACCTATTGGCGAGCACAGCCTGCTCACGAATTTTGAATTTTGTTGATGGTCGTTTATTGATTGCAAGTCGCGCATACCCGAACTTGGTTCTCCAAGTCATGTGACGTAGTGTGTACTTCTATGACAGTGAAATGAATTATAAAAAAACCTTGAAAAGGTGTTCGGATTTTGCCCGCTTGCTAGAAATAGACGATGCACATTCGTTCCGTTAATTCCTTATAAACGTGTGTGAAGTGAGATTTTCTGGTCGTCTGTCGACGCCTTATATGATGTGATCACTACTGATTGTATCGAAGTAAAACCGGTCGATATGTTGCATCACGCAATCAGAGACAGGAAACAAAATTTTGAATGTGGTGCCTCTGGAAGAACGGGCCGCTGCACCGGTTTTATCACCAGGGTCATGTCTACGCAACGTTGCTTAACTTCAAAAACATCGTGACCAAATACGTTAAAATGGTCTTTTCAAAGCAGCTAAAACATGCTGAACCCGCTGCTCGGAGCGATTCAGAACACATTGCAAAAGACAAAAGATGGGCCGTTCCCCCCCCCCCCCCTCAGGCTTTCCCTACTCCCATGTGATAGTTGATAATCTCACATGTCTGCAGGTCTCGGTGATGTTTTGGTCGTTGGTCGTTTCGTGCTTTTTGAACGAGACATTCATTGGGAACACGTATTTCAGGCTACGGTTCCGATTCTGACCCGGAGCTCTTGCGTGCTGGCTTCCTCGGCGAGCTGCAGAACATATTCGCCCAGAACGTCATCGTTACGAAGACGCACGATCCGCCATTTCCGCGAGTCATTCCTGGTATGTAGCACGTTCTCCTGTTTGTTGGTGAAGTGTGATTTCCCGACCACAAATCGAAAGAGGTTGATTGGGTCACGTTGAATTAGCTGTACCGCTTCCAGTGACAAGTGCAGGATTTTCGGTTTGTGGTAAACGTAGCTCCTTTTCAGGTCGCGTAACGCCTGCGCTTTGTAATGTCAGTGTAGTTCGAGTGTTCAGCCAACCGCATGCATTCTCATCAAGAGCTTAAGCCTAAAAGCAGTGTTCATGGCCAGATGGTATGCCTCGGGGTCGACGTGTACCCAGAGCCCGCAGTGGGGGAGGGGGGGGGGGGGGCGAGCGGGGCCTGGACAGATGGCCGACCGGTCCGGTCCGGTAACCCGAAACCGGTCACGATACGGCGTGGCATGGCGCGTGACGGCAGTCTTCTCGACGCGACAGACGTGCCGGGTGGGGGCCCGCCGTGGGCTTCGCTCGTCGCTGTGTAGATGGCTGCGAATCTCTCTTGGTCGGCGTCGAAGCTGCAACCGTGCACCGGCCATGCATCTACCACAGCAATGCGATGTGCCAGGAAGCGAACATCACCGCTGCTGCTGCTGACGGCGAGATTATGCATGCTTTAAACAATCACATTCACTAAAAGCATTCAATAGCATTCATTTGCGCATGGCTTGCAGATCCCGATCAGACAATAAATAGCATCGACTTCGCGGCGTACCCCATGGACATCACAGCACGCCGGGCGATCCTCATCATCCGTGACCCGTTCAAGGTCATACTGTCCTCGCGCCACTACCAGTTCTCCAGCTCGGTGCACGTCGAGAACGACCCCCACCCTCTTGAGCACTTCCGGGGAGAAGGTGAGGCACGAGCATTCGGCGAGTGCGCCGAATTCAGCCGACTGGGGTCATGACGAGGACTGGACTGTCATGTCCCTTGAAGAGGCCTGCTGTGTTCCCTTCGTGTTGCCTTAAAGTGATCTGCTGTGTTCCGTTAGAGGCATCGGATGATCCCTTACGAACTGGTTGTTTGAAACGTTCACCCCTTGAGATAAAGTTTTAGAATGGCGTCATGATACATTATGAATTCAGTCGGATTCAAAAGCCCCTTTTGAACTGAACATTCGAGTGGCACCGTGGCTACGTAGTCGTCTTACTTCTAACTGCCTTATTGGGAGTGCTGCCGCGTGACGCTAAGAATACAACTATTTGACTCAGGAAAGTGAATCGTCTTTTCTTGAGCTTAAAACATTTTTAGCTTTTGGATTTGCTAAAAATTTATCTGCCGAGACTTTATCGCCATTTATGGGATGCCTACATATGTCTGGATGCCAGACTTCGCAAAATCATACTGTCTGTCGGGGATGAACAATGAAACATTTCACGGGCGTGGGCGGGAACTACGGTATAGAAAGGGCAGCAGCAGCCGCACCAAATCTCTTTAAATTTGGCATAGCACCTACATTCCAACATTGAAGGATGTTGTTTCCGGCACCTTTGTCACGTTAGCCTTTTTAGCACTCCTAGCCCATGATGACAGTGGTTCCAGACACCCTTTTTTATAAATTTATCCCGAATGGTTTGTATGGGTGACTTCGGATTCGGAGTACCTGCTAAGCATGGCTTGTTGCGTGTACCCCGAGCCCACCACCCAAGCGTGCCGTCCAGTTCAACAGCTAATTTTGCCTACGCCCTTTCGCCAGACAGGAATGAGGAGGGTTTTACGTGCTGCACAATGCTGCGACACGGCCGCCTCGGGTCTGGGTTGAACCTCGTTGGCCAGTTGCCAGCTGGCCTTTCCATTTCAGTCGGGTCAAACAATGCGCCCACTTTGGGACCCGTACCCAGTGCCGCTGGATTGCGAGTCCAGCATCTTTCCCCGAGACTACGGAGGCGGCAAACATGTACAATATTTTTTGGGGTCGTTCCGATTTTCATGAGAGCGTCGTTCCGATTTTCGTGAGGATCAAGACCATGCAAAAGGAAATAGACAGATGGGTTCGCTTGTGCATGCAGACCTACCTACCTAGTTCTAGCATAGCTTTGCATAATAGTTTTAGCATAATGAGAAAACTAAGAACAAAGCCCCAAAACGAGCAGTTTCCTATCACATCGCGTGCCCCCCCGGGACATCACGGCACCTTTCCCGCGAGGCTGTTAACCCCTGAAGGTACGCCAGCGAGCGGAAAGGAAACCTCTTCTTATACCGGCGGCTACCAAGCCACCCAACAGGCTTTTCGTCCTAGAAAAACCCGCACCTCTGCTCCACTCTTCCGCTCCACCCCTGAGCTAATCGGGAGGAGCCGTAGGGCGCTGGCTGGAAGGGGCGCGCAAACCGCGGAGGGGGTAGGGGCTTTAGCCCCAACGCTCTGGAAATTGAGCGTCAGCTGATCATTTTAAGGGGGGGGGTAGGATAATCTGAAAGGAAATAATATGATAATGGGGATAAGATAAGGGGTTAAGATAATATAATTAATGGGGGATAAGATAACCTGAGATCTGAAAGCAGATAACTAAAAATGGTGTCGCCCTTTGCTCCCCCCCCCCCCCTCTCCCCCAACATGAGATGATTCCAATCACTTCTGAGTCCTGTACGCATAATCCGAAGTTTGGATCACAGCAATTCCGAGGAGCAAAATTTGGACTGTGCTGTGTGCATGACTGAAAGCTCAACATTGTTCAGTCCTTTTCAGCACTCAGTAACTCCTGACGATGGTCGAGGATTAAAATGACCGAAACGTTTCGTGCAAGCAAACACACCAGAATAGGACGATGGTCCGAACAAAAATGCATCCATAGCAGTAAAAGATAGTCTCGATCGTTATTCAACAATGCCTTCATTCAAGGTCACTCAGGCGGTCAGACCGAATTACCTCTGTGAACTAGATAGGCCATCCAATGCACAGCAATGGTACGACCTAACGGAATCAACCAGACGACTTGCATGCATCCATGCGAGAACGTTGTTTGAATTACCTGCTCGCACTTATTACATTCCACTTTTTGTCCGCGCACCGGTCAAGCTATGACGAAGGCTCGTGACGTCATCTGTGACGAAGCTCGTCAGCCCAACTGGCGCTGAGTGATAGGCGAGATCGTGATTTGTGATTGATGCAATCGAAGGTAGAGGGAATGCCAATGCTGCATTGGGATGTTTAACAGAGGATGAGCTCGTGGTGATTCAGTGATCTTCATTGAAACGTGGAAAATATCAACAGTTACACCATGAACACCGGCACTGCAAGATGATGCACGTCTTAACCGATTTGGCAATCATTCCAGATTGGCAAACATTTATTGAGTATTACGCACAGAGCTGGCTCGAATTCAACATCCAATGGCTCGAGCAGACTGACGACCTTCTTGTGATACACTACGAGAACCTGCAGGTAAGCCGTTCCTTAAAAGCATTGCCCGTAGTTCTCTGCATCTCTGACACCCCTGTCACATCAAGCCATGTCAGTGAGAGACAAACGTCATATGGGCAAGTCCGGTGTGGGATAATCTGACTCCTGACCAATCTACGTGATATTCGTCACGGTAAGTACCGCCTGCTTTGGTGGGCTGCAGGAGGCGTGATGCATGGCATGCACGCAAGGTTGCGGGGGGTAATACGAAGATCAGCGTCAGCGTGGACACATAGCCCACTACCGCGCTTTGGCATCACGAAAATGAGGAGCCTCGCTGTGACATCATTGTGATCTGGCTGCAAACCAGATGTAAAAAACTCAGGCACGCACCATGCGTCCTCTGGCGGCGAGCGGTATACGCTGACCGTCAATTTTTGAAGACTGGAAGACTGAGTCCCATCTTGGAGCCCGCGCGTAAATTTGACTGCAGCGTTTTTGTCTGTTATTCTGATTTTTGAGGCACATGACCACACACAGTGCTCCCCGCCTGCATCAAGTTATGGCTATCCCCGAACCAAGCAACAAAACCCAACTAAAACAAACCATGTGTATTCTAACCTCTTATTGCGAACAAGACAAGCGGCTAAAAGGCCCAGATGAGTATTCTACACAGTGCTTGTACACGGCCAATGTAAATCACGTGACAGCATTGGACCGTCGGTACCTGTCTCCCCCGTCCCTGAACACTCCATGTCAGTGGATACACCGCTCTCGCCTTTCGCTACTATAGCATATATTTTTGACTCAGTTCTTGCGGTGAATGCCATTGTATGTGGTAAAAGCACAATAACTCAAAATTGTCCACAGTTTGAGATATTTCCCGTTGGGGCTGGGGAATCCCCTTCCCCAAGCTGGAAGCGCCTGGTATACACAAGTTATTCTTAGATGTTTGGGGTGTTTTGGCGGAATTCTCCAAACGTGCCTTTGCGTGGAACGAAATCGTGCTATCCGCTCTTTGCTAAAGGGAAGTGTGAGAAGATTAAAAAGCACCAGCCTGGATTTGGCTGTCACGTACGACACAGCAGAACATTACGAGAGTGTGTCTTTTTGCGCGCCGAACCTCAGTGACGTCATTTCATAGTTTTCTCCACAAATATTTTTTTTTACGTTTTGAGGGGGAAGTGCTCCGCCTTGATGCATTGTCCTGCTTTAGCCTGACGACTGTCCTTCTCCTGCATGATTTTCTGTCTCCCTCAAATGGCATGCATAGCAGGTAACGAACAACGATGTAAAGGTAGGTTGGATCCTGCAAAGGTAAATAAAGAAACAGGTTACGTCATGACGACCTATGTTTCTGCGTGTTGTTACAAACCGGTGCAGCTCAAGTTTGGGCCGTCCTTGTTTCATTGGTGGCTGACAACGCGAAGATTTAACGTAACCCATCAAAAATGGATCCGTCTGTGAAATGAAGAATTTGTGGTAAATGGTGACGAACGGCCCCCAGTGATAAGGTTCACGTGCGCACGGCCGATGGAGATATGCGTTTCCTGTAACCTTCGTTATTGGGCCTTTACGACGCACTCAGCTGCTGAGGCTGTATGGCGTATATATATATATATATATATATATATATATATATATATATATATATATATATATATATATATATATATATCCCGCCTCTCACCCTGACAGGCGGGACGGACGCCGCGGAGAATCGAACCGGGGAGTCGGGATCCGTTATCTGCCACGAGCCAGGCCGTGTGACCTCTTCGTGACCTCTGCGTGCCGTCAGTCGGAGCCGTGGGCCCAGCTGGAGAGGGTGCACACCTTCCTGGGCGTGTCGCCGGACCCCGGGCGGATGCTGTGCTTGCGGCAGCATGGCGAGGGCGGCGCGCACAACCGGCACCACCCGGTGCGGGCCGAGATGGTGTACTCGCGCCCCCAGCAGTTCCTCGTGTGGACGGCCATCCACCAGCTGCAGCTGGAGATCAGCCGACGTCAGCTGCCGCCGCTGCCGCTCGACCGCTTCCTCTTCCAGGAGTTCCGCTTCTCCGGCGTGCCGGCGGCCGACGTGAGCGCGGCGCCCGGTGGCTGACGTGAGCGCGGCGCCCGCTAGCTGACGTGAGCGGAGCGCCCGCTAGCTGACGTGAGCGGAGCGCCCGCTAGCTGACGTGAGCGGAGCACCCGGTGGCCGACGTGAGCGGAGCGCCGGCTAGCTGACGTGAGCGGAGCGCCCGGTGACCGACGTGAGCGGAGCGCCCGCTAGCTGACGTGAGCGGAGCGCCCGGTGGCCGACGTGAGCGGAGCGCCCGCTAGCTGACGTGAGCGGAGCGCCTGCTGGCCGACGTGAGTGGAGCGCCCGGTGGCCGACGTGAGCGGATCGCCGCTAGCTGACGTGAGCGGAGCGCTCGGTGGCCGACGTGAGCGGATCGCCCGCTAGCTGACGTGAGCGGAGCGCCCGGTGGCCGACGTGAGCGAAGCGCCCGGTGGCCGACGTGAGCGAAGCGCTCGGTGGCCGACGTGAGCGGAGCGCCAGCTGGCTGACGTGAGTGGAGCGCCAGGTGGCCCGACGCCGCCGGCTGGGCGGCTGGCGCTAGGACGGAGAGTGACTCGACCTATGACCTCTGATGCGGCTGGGTGCTGGGGCGTGGGCTCGTGGCAGCCGGATCGCTGCGGACTCCGGGGCAGGTCACCGACCTGGCGCGCAGACGGCCAACGGAAGTCGGCGGCCAGATGAAACGGGTACAGGAGGTGTGCTTTGAGTACTCACGCTGTGGGTATTTGAAGCTGCCCCGGTTCGGCACTGGTGATAGGAGGAAGAGCTTAAGTTATCGCGAGGATTTGACTAGGAACTGCAATGCGGTATGAATGTAGCGTTATAGTCGAAACATCTGGTGTCGGACGCGAGTGCCTTTGTGGCGAGACGGCGCACGGTGGCCGCTGTGGTCTCTGGCTGACCTTCAAGAGGTTCGTCATGGCAGCTTTGACGTGGGCCGAGGCCGCGTCTGTGATGAGCTCCGAGGAGGTGGAGGTGCCTGCCGGTAAGCTCAGCCGCCGCTTCGCTGCCGTGGGGCTCCGCATTGCAGCCAACCTTCGGGGCATAGCGAACGCCGACTCCAGGAACCCTGGACCGCCCATCGCCTGCGCTGCTGGCTTTTTGTTCCGACCTGCGACGCTACCAGAGCTGTCACGGTGTGTTCAGCGTATGTGTACATCGCAGGAGGTGGACTTAGATGAGGTCCTTTGCCTGGCTGTGCGGGAATTTTTTCCAATCGTCTGTCCCCATCTTTAAAAAGTCACCAACTTGTCTCCTGTGGCCGAATTTTTCCCAGGTAGGTAGAGGACGACACGCGTTGTAACAGTTCCTAAGTCAGCTGGTCCGGCTGTACCGTCCAACAAGAGGCCATATTTTTACTCATTGTGCTCTCTAAGATCTCTGGAAAGGTAGCTTGCACACACCTTACGGAATAGTTGAGCGCGGCAGCGCTGCTGCATCCATCCCAGTATACATATAGGCCACGCCACTCGACCGAGGATGCCGTGCTCACCGCGGTCGAACGCCTGGTCACCAGCACTGACGGCGGTCTTACATCATCGCTAACGACGATCGATTTGTCACAGGCGTTCGACAGCGTCGACCACGACGTCCTCACCAAGGTGTCTCGGTGTCGCGTTACCGATGTGGGATGGTTAAGGAGTGATTTTGAGAGGTCAAGGGCAGGTGATGCGGGCGGCTCACTCTCACCATGGCGTGTGGTGAACCCAAGGCTCGATCATCTGTCAAATTGTGTTCATTTGGTTTACCATGGATACATGTTCATTTGGTTTACCATGGATACATGTTCATTTGGTTTACCATGGATACATGCTCATTTGGTTTACCATGGATACATGTTCATTTGGTTTACCATGGATACATGTTCACTTGGTTTACCATGGATACATGTTCATTTGGTTTACCATGGTGTACATGTTCATTTGGTTTACCATGGTGTACATGTTCATTTGGTTTACCATGGTGTACATGTTCATTTGGTTTACCATGGTGTACATGTTCATTTGGTTTACCATGGTGTACATGTTCATTTGGTTTACCATGGTGTACATGTTCATTTGGTTTACCATGGATACATGTTCATTTGGTTTACCATGGATAGATGTTCATTTGGTTTACCATGGATACATGTTCATTTGGTTTACCATGGATACATGTTCATTTGGTTTACCATGGATACATGTTCATTTGGTTTACCATGGATACATGTTCATTTGGTTTACCATGGATACATGTTCATTTGGTTTACCATGGTGTACATGGATACCTGACTCATGGCCGCCCCAGCTCCGACGCTGACGACACCATGCACGTGAACTGCGTCGCGCAGTTCACGTGCATCGTCCACCTCGACGGAATGGGTGTCGTCAACCTCAAAACCAGACTGGAACTTACCATGCGTGAGCTTCAGAACTGCTTCAGTGCCAGATCTCTCCAAATGAACGAAACAAACACTGCTTTTATGCTCGTTGGGTCAGAGCAAAATGTTAAAAAGTCGGCTGACGTCCACTTTAACGTGAACGACTAGACTGCGCATGCCTCAAGAAGCATAAAAATTATCGGCATCATAGTTGACTCCGGCCCGTCACGAGATGCCCATGCCATAAACGTCGTGAAAAAAATGCAGTGACATCCTCATTTCTCTGTACAAATTCTGCCATTACTTCACTCGAGATCTACCCAAAATCATCACTTAAGGGTGCATGTGCCCTCATATCACATACTGCCTGTGCGTGCGTGGTGGGGCGACCAAGAGTCAACTCCACAAATTTTTAAAACAATTAACTTTGCCGCAAGAGTAATAATTGCCTGCTTCAAAAATACCGTCATTTAACTCAGGTTCTAAATTATCTTGGATGGCCGAGGATCGACATCATGATGGCGCACCGCGACGTGATTTAAGTGTTTTAGGCACTGAAGGAGGCAGGTGCGCCTCACGAGGTCCGCGCGCGTCTTGGCCCACGCGCCGCTGTTTTGAGTCGTGAAACGCGCGTCTCGGCCAGACGTATTCGGCACCCGCACGGACGCCTACCGATTGCCATACAGAAGGCGCCTTCGCATCGGCCCGCAGCTGCGTGGAACCGGCTGTCATCGTGTGCCCGCCATGCCAAAACGATGGACGCATTTAAGACCGCCATACGTGATGTGATTTTAACCACGTACCGCTGACCTGCTCCGTCCCAAAGTGCACTAATAGGTCTGTTTTAGGTGGCTGACCATTGTTCTCGTCATTTTATGGTACACCTTTAGTGTGTGGCTTTTCATAATCACCTGTGTAACCTGAGGCCTTCAGAAACCACCATGAGGGTGGTTTCCAATATACTGGGACTGATACTGATACCGATACTGACACTGATACATGCCACGAAACGTTTAAACTGTGAGTGCAGCGAGACACTGAAGCTGTGAGGATGCCAACAGATCGTGACCGTTATTTCCGCATATTATTTTTTCCGGTGGTGCGCTGTGACGTTATGATCTAGATCAGCCTCGAAGTAGTCGTGCCAATTTGGTGCAAATGAGATGCTGGCCGGCTTCTGCTCAGGTGAACACGCTCGGCGTGGCACGAGCCGGCGAGCTGCGCCGCACCGCACATATTATTATATCCGTGCTGCTATTAGGAATAGGCACCGCTTACTTTAATCCACTGACCATTGTGTCACGAAATACGACAGGACCTCAGGACTCCCACCGGACCCATCAATTTAAGATCAACCCACCTTAAATGTGCACCAGCCATCTTCCCCGGTTAGACAGTGGTCAATGAAGGCCATAAGTCTAAACTAGTGATGCAGTTACTTTTTCATTTTTTTTCAAAAACTGGAACAGACATCTTTATTACGTGGTTTGCATTTTTACCTTTCCCTGGTGGCTTGTGGGTGCTACACTGGTAGTCTTTGTCCAGACGCTGTAACCGTTTCATCCCTACTCCCCGGTACGTGAGAGGTTTGTGCTGGAAACGCCGATTCACTTCTTCCGCGGCCAAGATCATCAGCGTGACGCTTGCACGCACTGTACGTGCACGAAGGTAACCTCAGGAATGGCCTCCAGCCCATTTTCACCAAGCTTTCTAATCTTGTCACATAGTGTGGTAGGTCGTAACGTTGTTTGCTGACCATACAGCGAATGTTTGAAACCAAAAGCGGCAATTTTTACGGGAATAATACATTGTAACGACTCGAATGGCATGGCATAACGCGAATGATGCGCCGTGAGTAATGGTAGCCGAAGGCGGCAATGCTAGCGCATTTTTTAGACTGTTGATGGTACACATTTTGGTGGTAATAAAAGTGGATTCGACCCACTGGAAGGTGTTTCAAAAACTGATTGCACGTCGTTCCGTTGAGAAGAGCAATCTTTTGCTTTATGTTAAGACTTTGAAGAGGGAGCGTGGAGTATGTGACTGTCTAACTTTCTCCAGAATATGACACACGAATAAAGTGAGTCACAAATTACTCAACAATAGTGAAATTTATGGAGTCGTGTGAAATGATCTTAAATACCCCAACAACAATGCGAAGGGCCCCAGAGCGATCAAGTGTGCTTCGACCGAGAACATGGGAAAACTCAAAACCAACGCGAACGGCATCCAAGCGGTGACTGGTGCAGCGACCAGTCACGGCCTCTAGCTTCTCTAGTCTCCGCAAACTCTAGCTACTCATCCATATAAGTAAGGCTGGTTTTCGGCTATCCGGCTATGCAGCTAGTCACAAGTCGATCGGGTAGCCGCAGGAGGCTGTTAGCTGACCCGGCTAGCCGGCTGGGAGAGTTTTTAAAAGTTTTTTTTTGTTAATACACGCACACGTGTCCAAGCTGTTGATTTGGGATGCATATGAACTGAGTTCGTTAGCCATTCGGCTACAATTACAGATTCCTGCGGGCATTAACTTGATTATACAGATTTTAGTTGCAAGGCTTTTTTAGATCACACAAAAACTTTTGGGTGGGATTAAAGCACTTGTCATATCACCCTTCAACCCAAAGCAAAACCACAGATGTATCTGGAAATGTCTGAGATTGGTGTAAAAACAGGCGAGGAAAGAAGAATAACGGAAACATCCGTGGATCGCAGTCGAGGTCACCAATGGTAAAATTGCTGATGGCATGTGCTTCAATGCTCCGTGCTTCTGCCTCCCTTTACGAAGTTCTGGATCCGTCCCTGAGTACACCTCAGTTCTAGCCCCATCGTAGATCGTAGCCACTTCGCACCTCTTCTGTCCGTTTTTATCTGAACACAATAATAACTTTATCTTGAGGCGAAATCGTTACTTTGGAGCAGATAAGACGAATCCATTTTTGGCATCGGTCATTTCGTTAAGATGTCCGCCCACTCAAAATTCCGTAGAAAGTCCTGCCTACAATCAATGCCATCGATATATGCGTATTTGTTCGAGTGTTTGAAGCACTTCGTGCACAGATCCCGTCCGATTGCCAAATAGGTGCACTTTATTTAGGCATAAATTGTCGGCTAAACCAAATGCGGTTCATTTGCGGGAGCAATATGACCTAACGAATATCAGCGCACTACAAGACCTTCACCTTGAAAGGAGCAATGTAAAACAGGAACATGAAGCTGTAGCAGTCACATCTCAGAACGTCTTTCAAGGGTTGCTGCCACAACACTGCCACTGCTGCCAGAACTGATTACCACCACCAACAGCGCAACGATTGCTGTGTTCTACTGCACTCATTGTGTTCTACATGGCCTATTGAGGCTTTACGACGCATCCAGCTGCTAAGGCTATATGGCGTCACCTGCCTCTCACCCTGGCAGGCAGGGCGGGTACCGCGCGGAATCCGACCGCGTACCTCTGTTTTCCCAGATGCGCAGTGACAGGCGCTGCCCAGCGGATCACCCAGTGGTGTTACGTGCCCGACGCGCAGCACTACGGTCTTTTTTGCTTATTTACATTTACAGCCCGATGCTTTTTATACAATTGTGCGTTTGTACGTTGTAGAATCGATACGTCACGTATCGGTTTATCGAATATAATCGATGCGTAATCGATACGTCACATGCACCGCCGCCATGTGTCTCGCGCAGCGCGCCGAGTTGTCGACTTCGCCGCGAAATGTGACTGCAAGTCAGCCGGAGGTGGTGCTCTTGACTTGAATTGACTTGACTGTGACCCTGTGTGGCCATGATGCCTATCTTTCGGCGTTGGAGCAAACAGCGGGTGCCAGTTCGCCTGAATCGAACGCTCGAGTTCGATCCGCAACCGCGTTCAGGACAGCAGATCAGGGGCGTGGAGAGGCCGGGCCAGCAGATCCCATTGTGCTGCTGCGTGATCCGTTAACGTTTTCTGATCTTGCGCCATCTGTTGACAAATGTGCCCTGATATCTCGAAAGCATGGGTTCATAGCGAAATTATGATAATAATTTGAAGTTTTAGGGCGCGTCGACATCGAAGGACAAATTGCGTCCACAACGGCTGCTTGAAGCTGTGTTATGCTTGAACTCGCAAGCAACAAATACAGCTGAAAAATTGATGCGTCTTAGGAATAGGAACAACTCACTTGCATGTAAGAATTAAGAGTCGTCTCCCAGCATGTCTTAATAAGTTGAGCATGACGCATGCTGCCCAAAATGACGCAGTTGTTCTTCCTTGTAATGTGAACAGGAGTAAAGCACATGATAAACAGTCAACGGTGCATCGTGTTAATGACATTGAGGTTTCCCGCTACCACACAACAGTTATCCATGTGTCGCGTAAGTATGGCCAATTCGAGGACGGCACAGAGCGACCTCTTCATACCTAGCCGCTCGCGAGCAAGACGGCTAAGGGTCCAACAGCGGCTTTATCATCCTGAGCTTGCTGTTGCTTTCGTCGTCCCAGCAACGCTGCCATTTTATTCTTAAATAAGCCGTGATGGCTGGGTAGAGCCAGATAAGATCGAGAGTCGGTCATCATCAACGACTTCAATATCGCAGAGTGCTGTAATGATACCGAAAAGGGATCAAGGTATCTCTGCGGTATACACAGAGGCGTGTTCTGGCAGTGGCAATGAACGTGTGGCATGGCTACACACCAACACGGAGCCAACACCTGATTCGGCTTTGGACCCGTCTGCAAAGATCGTTACATTCCCTTCATATGACGAGATAGGCCCCAGCAGCACTCTTACCCTCGAGACGCACGTGATAAACACTCGTTTTTTATCTGTGCTAATGAAAGATCAACACTTGGTGCACATTACTCCCAAGGGGTGCTCTCAGGTGGCTAGACCCAAGCACTTCCTTCCACCTGAGACCATTCTCTCGGAGCAGCCGTTGGACCTGAACCGCAAGTGGCACAACACGTGTTCCCCGTTTGTTTCTAAAAAAGTCTCTTCTCGCGTCGTGAAAAGACTGTTCGGTAGGTGGGGTGTTTTGGGCAGTCCGCCAACTTAAAAGCATAACTCATCCCTCCTTTGTCGAGTAAAAGACATGTTGTATACATGATAGTGCAATGGTGGGCCAAATTAGTTTTGACTCAGGTAGGTTGCGTAGCCCAGATTTCGCCCAGAATGTGGTCAGAACGGACCATAGAGGGACTACTCAGCCGAACGTACCCCTCCCCGCTGCTATATTGACCATGTTTGTTTTTTTAATTCGTGTTGTTTCCCTGGATCGGGATTCCATCGTAATGCCTTCTGGCCCGTTACGGTCCAGAGGCCCTTCGGGTGTTTTAAACTGAAAAAAATACTGAGGCTACTGAGCTCAAGCTACGCCACTGGCTCAGGCTGAGATTAGTCACCGAAGTTTTTCAAACCCCGTTTTCGTTACGGGGTGACACAACGGAAGCGCACTGTTGAGAGCGAGATGACCATGTAAGCAAAGTCTCGACCATGCGAACCTTTATTTCTCGCAAGCTTATGTTATCCTCCGGGCAACACAGTGTGCGACATCCGTAATCGTCCTCCTACCACATCAAAGCGCCGGCCGCCATTCCCCCCCCCTTCCCCCCGGCCCTCCCCGCCCTCTCCCCCCCCCCCCCCCGGTTGTGCGACGCCGTGACAAAAGGCGGCAATTTATGTGCTAAAAAGGCTCCTCTTGTTTATTTGCTTATTGTACGGTACTTTGGAACTTTTGTGGTGGCTGCTGGCATTTTTGCTCCGTCTGAAAAAAATTACGCAACTTCGTGGACTTGTATGCCAACAGTAGTATTTAAAGGATCCTGACTCCCAACTAGCAACGCTGAAGCGTAGCCTTCGGTGCCAAATATGAGGTACTGACATGCTAACTGCGGGAGGTTGTATTTAGAATCGTGGCGATGCTATTCGTTTTGCTCAGATACATTCCTATGTGCGGGAAAGATAAGATATCGTTGGCTACCGAGGTGCTCATCTAGGTACTTGCATTTAGGGGCGGCGCAGCAGGGGGAGGGCAGAGGAGACAGTTGTCCCAATGTTGGCAGGCAGGAGGAGCAAGGGTGTGTTTTTCCCCTCCCAAGAAAATGGGAGGCCCCTTTTTCCTGAATAAAGGCATTGCAACCACTCATATTGTACCAACAATAATTAATACAATGTACCAACAAAATGAATACCAAGGAAAACCCCTAAGTGAGTTAGAGAGCGAAGACTCGGGGTCAGAAGGCTTTTTGTTTCATCAAGAAACCCGTTTTCTGGACCATGAGGTCCCTGTTATGAAGTCATGAGTAAGGTAGCCAATGTTCTAGACAAGGAGACCCAATGCTGTGCTAAGGAGGCCCCTGCGCTGACCCGGGAGTGACCCCGTTACGACCTAAGAGGCCCTGTCCTGGGTTAGGAGGCACCCTCTGTATTCAGGAGGCCCCACGTCTGGAACAGGAAGCCCATTTCACGCATCAGACGATCGCAGTTTCGGATCAAGATGTCCTGTTTTGGGATAGCGAGGCTCCTTGGCTAGATATGGGGGCCCCGTCGTAAATTGGAAGTATCCTGTTTTGGATTAGCAAGCCTCCTTTATGCAGCGGGAGGTCCTTCACTGGAACAGGAGGCCCTGCTTTAAGTGGGTGAGGTATTTTGCAAGATAATTGAAAGGCCCTCATTCTGATTAAAAACGTTCCAGAATAAGGTCAATGGTTAAGGTGAAAGGTTAAAAAGGGTTGCGTTGTTGTTGTTGTCACTGAGGCTTTACGACGCACCCATCTGCTGAGGCTATATGGCGTCGCCTGCATCTCACCCTGGCAGGAAGAGCGGGCACCGCGGGAATCGTACCCGTTACCTCTGGTTTCCCAGACGCGCAGTGGTTAACGGTTGAAAACAGTTAAAGGTTAAAGGAGATTAAAAGCGGTTAAAACGACTAAAACGGATGCCTATGCGCATGTGCAACGGCGACGTCGTCCATCTGGCTCCATATGCACAGAAATACGGTTTTGCGTAAATCAACTCAGATCAACGCAACTCAACTCAGATCAACTCAGATCTGCATCGGGTAGCCGTTTCCTGACAGCCAACTCGTGAGTCGATATACACGCTCCCTTTTCACTCACTGCGTGAAAAAGGGTGCAGTTTCCTATCTGGCTGGAAGGAGGAGAGTCGTCAAGTGATTGGAGGAGTCATCACTGTTGCCGACACCCTGACAGACGACACGCTTACGACTTCCACGTCTGAGCCAAACGGCAGTTTGTGTGATCTTGCGACTCATTCCAATGATCTATGGACCATCATGAGTCGACTCAATGCTAAGGTAACGTATGGGTGCGATGATGCTATTAAGTTACATCCCAATATCTCAAAACATGTAAATCCTCACCATGGATTGCCAAGGAAGGATACATAACACTGACATTTGCACCCCCATACACTTTATGTTTATTTCCTAGCTGGCGTCATCAGGCAGCTCCTGGATACCTACACCGACCGCAAACTGGTCTGCGGTCGGTGTGCGTACCTACAGCCTGTCGTCGCCCCTCACTGCGGCCGCAGTGAGGCGCGACGATGAGCAGAAGCGCTTCGCACAAAAGTATCTTGGCACGCACCGCAGGAGCTAACGACATCTATTAGTTACCTTAACGTAGTTTGAATGTATCTAAGCAGAAACCTTATGCAAAAATGAGCATCAGCATCACCACTCTACCCGCAACACCCTGCAGTCAGCATATCAACGTCACATATATGGCGCCGAGCGCCATGGTTCATTTTTTTCAGTTGGTAGTCCAGATAATTGCAATATTTCAATTGCAAACGTCCACGAATTGCATGATTTTACTACACCACAAAGAAATGTGTCAGAATTAGTACACTGTCGGCATCAAAATGAGTTCCTTCCAGCATAGAAGTAGGTAAGATGTCTAGAATTGCAGGTGAAATTGGTAAAACTTTTAGATATCACAAAAGTATCATAAGATACCTCATATGCTTGCTAAGTATACCACAAAATGAGCGGTTTAGAACACAGTGAAACTCGTTTCGCATATGAGAAATCACCACCCATAAAATAATGGCAGACATCGGATAGCCCAGAAGGAGGGAGTTTGTAACAAGTCGTCAGAAAATGCCACGAAACAAAGAATTCAGCGACGGACAAAGCCGGCCGGCGGCGACTGACGTGTGACGTTGCCGCCCAAACGTGTGACGTAAGCAATGGCGGCGAGATGCCGGGAGGCCGTCGCCAGTGCGGCGCCGGCAGCCATGGCAACGTGGAATGTCGCCTGTTTACACTGGGCTCAGTCCAGGCCCGTGAACATGTCCGTATACATGGACTGCGTTTACAGCATCTGTCCATCAGATCATGTCGCCTTTAAGCAGAACCACGTAGCGCATCCCTGCCCGCCAAGGCTACTGGAATGTCCCAGGTCCGGTTTGCGGCATGCAAGATGATATTATCCCGCCAGTTAGGAGGCGGCGGGGGCAGCGGTTGGACCGCGGAGAGTGTTGATCTTTATCCAGCGATGGGTGCCGACGCACGCGCGCTGCTCGGGGTTGTGCTCCTGCTTACTCTGCCGACGTGGCCGGCGGACGCGGTACGCACAGCCAACAGCGACCGGCCGGACCTGCTGCCGACGGACTGTGGCCGCCGCCTGGTGAGACCGGACGAGGCTGTCCGACCGTTTATAGTCGGGTCGGGTAACACCACCGCCTACTACGGCCAGTACCCGTGGCAGGCGCGGCTGGTCATGTATGATGCCAATGCCAGGGGGTACGTACATCACTGCGGCGGCATCGTCATCTCGCAAGAACACGTGGTGACAGCCGCCCACTGCGTGGTTGCGGTCGTCCCCAGTCAGCTGCTGGTGCGTGTCGGTGACCTTCGATTTGACGGCCGCGAGAGGTTTGAGCAAGAGTTCGCCGTCGCCAGCTTCCACGCGCACAGCCAGTTCGGCACGGGGCCTGGCCTGCGTCACGACGTGGCCCTACTGCGGCTGCGTCGCCGCGCCGGGCCCGGCATCGAGTTCGGCCGCTACGTGCAGCCGGCCTGCCTGCCGGCGGCCGACGCCGAGTACGAGACGTTCCTGCCGTGCGAGGTGTCCGGCTGGGGGCGTACCTCAGACGGCGCGCCCATCTCGGAGGTGCTGCGCGGCGTCTCAGTGCCGTTGGTGTCCGACTTCTTCTGCGGCGCGCCCGAGGTTTACCAAGATCGCTTCCTACCCGGCGCTATGTTCTGCTCGGGCCCGACGGGTGGCGGCGCCGACAGCTGCGAGGGCGACTCGGGCGGCCCGCTGGTGTGTGGCGACGCCGACAGTGGCCGTTTCGTGGCGTACGGCGTCGTGTCCTCTGGCGATCCGCTGGGCTGCGGCCGACGACCCGGCCTGTACACCAAGCTGTCAGCATACGTCGACTGGCTGCTGCCCCGCCTCCAGCTGGACCAGGAAGAGGACGCGGCGTCGAGCACGCCTGTGGCCTCAGCACCGCACCTCGCCGACCGTCCTCTCGGCGACTTGAACCAGACTTGCCTAACCCCGGACGGCGCGGCCGGCCTCTGTCTCCACTTGAAGGACTGTCCCAAGCTGCTACAGACCCACGTCGGGAACCGGTCAGACCTGCTGGCCAGGCCTCTCTGCGGGCTGGACGCGGCCTCCACGCCCCTGATCTGCTGTCCTGGACGCGGTTGCGGACGGACCAGCTTCTCGCCACCCGAGTACCCGGGGGCCGCGCTCGCCAAGGACGCCACTGAGTTACCCTGGATAGTGACCCTTTCCAAAATGGTGACTCGTGACGGATACGCGACTTTTTGCGCGGGCGTCGTGATCTCCGACCAGTGGGTGTTGACGTCAGCAACCTGCGCGACAACCAGCGACCTGAAGGTGCGCTTCGGTTCCCCTGACATTCCCAGTACAGCCTCGTTTTCGCTGAACGTTGTCGAGGCTGTGCGGCATACGGAGTACTTAGGGTGGGAAAACTCAGCTCAAGACATTATGCTGATGAAAACTGAGTCAAAAATTTCGTTTTCTAGCATCGTGAACCCAATATGTCTGCCAGATGCGTCCCTTCTTTCGACCGTCGTAGCGGGCAAGCACCTTCTATATGCGGGCTGGTCGAGGCCTTTAGTGAAGTGGGCGAGAACAAAGGTGATCGACTTCAATGTATGCGGAAGTGTGGTAGAATTTTCCAGGTATCTCTATGGGAGAGGACTGTTTTGCACAAAGTGGACTGATTTGGATTTTTTGTCCGTGAAGCTTGACTGTGCATCGGATCTCCGTGGTTCTGTGGCCATGGACATCGTCAATGAAAATGGCATTGAGACATGGCATGTGGTAGGGCTGTCTATTTCTGGACTGGGATGTTCCGATCAATCGGTTCCTTCCGCGGGCATCTTTATCTCCTTAGAACCACATCTGGACTGGATCAGGTCGGTCATCTCCGAGGCCTCATAAACTTGCTTTAAGTTTTGGTAGATATTGAGCTGTGTTTTTTCCAGGCTATCTTCACCGAGTTTCAGTGTGACATGAGCTGGGCCTTGACAAGCTGGATGCAGACGAAGATTTCGCTCTGCACGAATTTGCGGACTTGTATTGTTTTAAGAACTTGGAGGTAGATTTGTCTTCTCATTGCCTCTGCTCATTTCGAGTACCTTGCAGTGCGTGATGTTTTTTCCGACCCCTGCGTCGAGAGATAGCATAAATGTGAGCTTACTCCAGTACCGGGTTAGGGTGACTTTATCCGGCATCTAAATGTCTCGGCTGTGTCTAGTGCTCTATTTGTGACATGCCGGAGCTGTCAGAATGTTGGTAATGTCTGTTACTTGCATTTGCATTTAGGAAGCATGCAGAATCTTGCAATGGGAGAGGGAATGGAAATGACGGTTAAAAAAATATATTTAAAAATCACCACGCGCACGCGCGCGCGGTTTTTATTGCGCATACCAGCATAGCATCTTGGAAATCTTCTGAGTCTTACAGAAAGAAGGCAAACCCATTTCAGCTTAACGTCCTACCTAGCCCGTTATTGACCTCAGCTTCGTCCGTTGTGCTACTCAGCGGTACACCATTTACCGGGAGGGGTGTCCTTGCCCCCCCCCCCCCCGTCTTACCTCCAGAACAGGCGGGCGGAATTGAAACAAAACCGCAATGGATAACACTGTGGCGCGCGGTCCCAGACCACACAACACGCTTACGCGGCAGACCTGAGCCAGGTCGCTGCGGCCGACCTGGTCAGGTCGCTGCGGCGGACCTGAGCCCGCCGCCTGCCGCCGCGGGTCTGAGCCCACTCGGGCATGGAAGGTATGCGCTGCGATGCAGTTCAAATTATAACATAATCATTAGTGCAAGTAATTGCCCGAAATTTAGTACTTGCATTCTTCATAACCGCATCGAGGATATCCTTTGATATGTTTTTGGTGCGTACTTGTTACTAACCAGAATTTTGTTTCACGTCACTTTTTAGGTTGGATTTTAAGATAGGATTTTAAGACCTCTTGCCCTGAAAAGGGTAAGAGGCCTTATTTCTCATAAGTGTGCGATAGAGTGGACAAAACGAGTTTGTTGTTGCAGTTGCAGTTTCTGAAACCTGAACGGTGTTGCACGCTGCAACTAGCACTAGGCGCGGTGCGCACCGGACGAGCGAGGACAACCGTAGTAAAATGATGTTTCCAAAAGTCTAAATATCGATTGGCAATATTGAAAGATAACACCGGGGTGTCTGTTTCACAGGCATAATTTTGCAGGTGTGCTTTAAGCAGATTAGTTCCACCGGCAGATTTCAGCATCAGTTCGCGGTGCTGTAAATGCCAATCCGTTCCTGCGATCAATCTAGAAATTGTGTAGGTGTGATATATACCGGGCTGACTCCGAAGCGCACGAATTGATCTCGCAAAGCGTTAAAGGGAACTTCTGGTTGTCTAGCACAGTAAAACGTAAAGGGTATCAATCAGCTTGTCATGAAATAAGCGTTAGTGACGTCTTGACAATACTGAGTTTTCAAGCAACTGAAATCAATTTTGTGTGGCATAAAACATTCGGGTTAATAAAAACAAAGGGTTGACATATTATATCTACCAGAAACTATGTATATACATATATATATATAAATTATATTCTTATTAAATAATATATATATATATATATATGTTGTTTCATATGTACCACCATCTTCGTCCGTCCGTTTGCCCCCCCCCCCTCCTAGTGTCACCGCCTAATTTTCGTCACCGTTCACCGTTGCGCGGCCAACGGGGACTGCAGCGCTGGGCTTCACGATTTTTGTCTGTAAGACTTGTGGGCAGAGAAAAAACCTTCACTTGCCCACGGACGTAGGAGACTCACACATTGCCCGCCCTTCACGAAAGAAGGCTGAAACGCTCCGATTGTAAAGTTCTATTCAACATATTATTTCTCGAAATGTCGATTGCGATGACATTACGCGCATTACATCACTGAATATTGAGAAAGTGCTTTAGAAGCCTAAATCTTTTTCAGCAATGTCGTGTGGTGAAACAGTTTGTGGGCAATTTGTGGACACACTTCTCTGTCTCTCAATTTTTTGAAGCGTCATTTTGGTCTAGTTTTCAATATGTTCCTCGTCCTTACCGAGATGTCTCCTCAGCAAAAAATAAAAATAACAAAGACCGCTCAGTGAAGACGCAACCCACTGTATGAACACTATATGACTTCACGTACCTGTTGTGCTGAGTCTGAGCATTGTCTAATGGATGATCCCAACGACTTATTCAGTTCATGAATAAAACCTTAAATATATTTCCCATTGGCAAAAAATGTATGGTGTAGTAATGGGAATTTAAAAACTGAAGACGTCATTATTATCTTCGTGCATAGCTTCGTTCATGTTAGTATGGCGCGGTTCGCCTTGAAATGCTTCATTACGGCAATGAGCGTTGTCAGTCATCTGGATTTGTGTTGCGGTGTGTTTTGCAAGAGGGATTTTGGGGAGCTGGGAGGTGTAGGTGTACTTGAATGTAACATTCGGCGAATAGGTAGTGGGCGTTGTGAGTAGAAACTAGCTACATTCATACCTTGGTGGAGTCATATAGATAGGTCATACCCAATTTTGCAAGGATGCATACCCAACCCTATTTGTAGAGTCTATGGCTGTGTATGGGGCACGGGTCTGAATAATTATATTCTGAACATTTGGTCTTGTATTATGTGAAGATGCTCAGTTCACTGCAACACACAACTGATAGCAGAACTTCAACATCATGCCTTAGTATGGGGACGGTATCACTGAAATCATTCATTTTATGTTCGGAAAAGACACTGGAAGTTGGACAGATTTGACAACATTCTGTTTGGAATGCAACTGACCGAAATTCCATCGCGGTATTTGTTTGTGTAACTTTTGGAGATAAAATCAGCATATGATGGCAGTGTTTTCCATTTTAAGGATATTCTTGCCTGAAAGGAAGTGCATTATGAAACGAATTCAGGCTGACTGATACATCACATTGACACCTTTGCCACGCTTTGCTAATTAGGAAAAGCTAATACCAGAAACCTAGGGCTGTTTCAAATTGCAGTGCCTTCCAATATGCGTCTGATATGTTCAAGTATGCCTATTTGAAGGCCCTCTTGAAATTCAGGAGTACTTTTATGTTCAAACATTGAAATATATGTGGATGTCTCCTAAGTGGTCTAAATTTGTGAGAGATCATGCGTTGGATCATGTTCGGTAAAGCAGAATGCTAAGTTGAGGATAGGACTAATCCATTTGACGCAAGATTCAGGATATCTTCAGGCCTCATCTTGATGGCATATTTCCCGTATGTGTGGAACGCACATGGGGACCGGCACATTAACGGAGCCATATGTCATACGGATATCCATAAAACACAAAAATATACACCATTGTTCTCAGAATGGAACCGAAAACACGCCTGCTTAAGTTTCGTGTCGGCACTGGGCATGGTCTTGTGGGTGATGGTATAAATCTGTGATCTGTAATATGTTATATTACATATTTCATGTTGATATTACAAGTAATATGTAATGCAACTAAATCTGTAAGTGAGATCATTTGAAAATTCGACCCTTGATCTGCCAAAATGGGGTCAGTTATTGAACAGCAGCATGAAAGCTGTACCAATAGCGAGTTCTCCTTGGGACTAATTCACTGGTGTTTTCCACTAACCTCTACATTCATTACTTTAGAAACGCCAGGGGGTGGGGTTGGTATCACGCCCCCCCCCCCCCCACACCCCGCCTCCATCAATCCGCGTTGTGAAAGACGGCTAATCAGGGCGAGGGTTGAGGAGACAGATAAGGCCGTTTGTACTTTGTAGGACACAGACATGAGCTGATTTGACCTCTGCTTGCGAGCGCGTATGCTCAAAACTAGGCTACATTTCTTCACTTATTCACTTTGATTGGAGGTTGAACATTTCCAGACAAACATGAATTGACCATGGTAATAGGGGAGAGTAGGGAGAGTTGTATCAGTTTTTACGCTGAAGTCTCTCCTCACTGAAAATAGTTTATGCTGCGCTCTTACCACCATTTCCCTGCTAACTTTGTGCTGAGTAGCGTCCGACTACCACAGGATGATCTTACACGGGTGGTGGATGCGTGGCCAAGCTTATGAGGGCTGTATCGGTAGTTATCGGCGCCATGCCCAGACGACCTTGGCGATGTATGTACGACGCCTCTGTAGTCCTCCGCTGGTACAATTATTGTACAATGATGGTCTTGGCCGTGGTCCTGGATGCGATGCCGCTCCATTATCCTTGACAAATCGCGTTCCTGGCAAGGCGTCTATTTCTGCCATTCACCTGGCTCACCTCCCCACGCTGCAACGTTCCTAAACGGGAGCACAAAGATTACCTTTGATCCGTGTCATGCCAACGTTTGACCATTTACCAATGCTTACAAGCCTCGAACAATGATGCTACATGGGCAGTAGCGAATTAGGCATAAATGACCTCAATGGATGCAGTAGCTAAATGTCCTTACTTATTGCGGAACGTCGCGTGCCCATTATGGCTGGCTGAGCGTCGCGGGCGCCATTATGGCTGGCTGAGCGTCGCGGGCGCCATTATGGCTGGCTGAGCGTCGCGTGCCCATTATCGCTGGCTGAGCGTCGCGGGCGCCATTTCCGGCGCCATAAAACTGTCTTCCGATGTTGTATCGTCAGTGGGGTCTCTGATATTTCATGTGCTCTTCTGAGGATCAGGAAAATGCAGCAGCAGAAGAACGGGCGGAAATCGTGGTAAGTCGTATGCTCATGGAGTTACGATGTGCATACATACATACAGGGTTATGTGCACGGGGGAGTTACCGGTTACGTTGGTGCGTGGTTGTGTCAGTTGTGAGCATGTCGTAATTTATCATGCGTGAAACTTTACTGATAGTTGGGAACGCTAACCGGTAATACGCATAGGGGAACAGTGTATATTCTTTGAACATATTTTAAGAAACAGCTGCAAAAGGCAGTGTTACTACACCCTTTCAGGTACGTGATTTTACGATGTCAGAATTCATGATATATCTGGATTCTGAGGCGCTAACCATTCCTCTTTGGTGGCTCAGTGTTTCCAGGTTTCTTACTAACATGCTCAGTGACATTGCCAACGACTGCTTAGTCCGCCCTAAATTTTTAATTCTCAGATTTCAGTGACCTTACTTTAAAGACATGGACAAAAGGGTGCATGTTTGTGTATGGAACTCCTTTTTTCACAACACATCTGTATAAGACGCCTTCCCTAGGCTGCACAGCACCGCCAGTAATACAAACCGCTGAATTTATTACGTTATGTTCAATACGTAATACTTTGGTAGAAATAATACTAAAATCTACTAATACTAATAGAAAACAATCGTCGGTCCAAAGGGTCCATTGGCCCCGGGGAACCTAAAGGGACACGTGACTCAATGACAATGACGTGGCAATGACGTGACAATGACCTCCTTGCCTGCGCTACGGGACCAGAGCCAAATTTGACTTATGCTGGACCGGCACGGCCCGTCCGAATCCATTGCCCTCATCTAACCTATGGTTTTGCCCCCAATTTTTTTTTTGGAGGCCCTTTTTTCCAAAACTAAAGGCTTTGTAGATGCTCGTAGACTACTAAAGGCCAGGCCAAGGAGACCTCCATGACTGAGCTAGAGAGCAATCAATCGGTTCAGAAGCCCTGCGCTACGTTAAGCGGTGTGTTTCTGATCATGAGGTCATCTTTATGTATCAAGTCAATGCTCTAGATAAGTGGGCCCAAGTGATACGTTAATAAGCCCCTTTGCTGGCTTGGGAGGCCTCCGTTTACGACCTAGAAGGTTTTGCACTGAGTTAGGAGACACCTTCCATATCCAGGAGGCCTCATTTATTATAGGAAATCCCCTGTATGCATAGGATGGTCGCAGCACCAGATCAGGATGCTGGGATAATGAGGCTCCTTGGCTAAATATGCATATAGGGATCTCTTAACTGAGAACAAAATGTTTTCGCAAATCGAAAGCGTTCTGTTCTAAACTGAGAGATCCCTATATGCATCAGCAAGTCCTTTTTTGGACCAGGATGTCCCGTTTTCGGAACGTGAGACCCTTTACTGGATAATCAGAATGATAAATTAATAATAAATAAATAAATTTTCTGGATATTTCTTGAATATGATGCAATGTCACAAATTGATCAGGGGCACATACCCTCGATGCCCCTTCCTTTGAATAACACTACCGAGGACCCCCCCCCCCCGCCTGAGAGGAGGCCCCCTGAAAAAATCCTGCCTCAGCTCAAAAATCGTGGCTCCACGCTCCTTGACACAGCTCTGATTAGTTGCTTTCACTTATGTTTTGGGCTGTGGCCGCAATTGAAAATGGCTTACGTCGTCTTGCTGGATGATGGCGTTTTATTTCAAGTAGATTGAAGGCCAGAAGCGTTTCGCCATTATGAGTTTGGGGTATTTATCCTGATGTTAATCGACCTTCAGTATGCGAGAAGGCAGGGATAGCACTTTGTATGCTTTCGGGGCCTGTGCCTCTCCCAATCCGGGCTCACGACCGTTCAATGCTTTTCTGAGCACCTCCATCCCAATGCAAAAAGGGTATCATGGGCCA